GGTGTTCTGTAGTCCCGTTAACTGCGGGGGATACGTTCCAAGACCCTCATGGATTCCTGAACCCATGGGTACTACTGAACCCTATATATAAACACGCGTCACACCTTTGCCCCTCAGCTCAGCCAGGCCCCACTTTGCCTGTGCCTCCCACACATTATCCCCCAGTCCCTGGCCCTGCACATTGTGCCCAATTCCATGCCAAGGCCCCTCCCCAGACAACGTGCTCCATCCCATGCACAGAGATCGGCCTGGCCAACCCATCCCCAGAAAAAGGAAGACTAGGTAGTAAAGGTCTGAGAGCTGTGGGGAGCCGGATCCTGGCAGACCCCCAGCAGATAGGTGTGTGTGGCAGAGCAATGGCTCCAGCCCAGCCTAAGATCATGGCTGATTGCAGATAACGGAAACCCCAGAAAGGGAAGCTGCAGACTGGGGAGAGGGAACTACTATATTTTCCTTCTGGTTTCTTTCATGATTTTCTCTTTCTTTGTTAGTCTGTGGTTTAAATATAATATGTTTGGATATAGATATTTTGTATTTATCCTGATCAGTGTTATTTGAACTTCTGGATCTGTGATTTAATGTCTAGCATTAATTTTGTAAAATTTTCAGCCATTATTAATTTAAATATTAATGTTTCTTTTCATTTTTAGTTTCTTTTCTTTTTGATATCTTCATCAGCGTATGTGACACCTTTTGTTTTAGAGTTCTTGGATATTCTGTTCCTTTTTTTCTTTTTTTCACTCCCCCTTTTTGCATTTCAGTTTTGGATGTTTCTGTCTTAATCTTAGCACACTGACTCTTTCCTAGATCGTATTCAATCTACTACTGATTCCATTAATTACATTCTTCATTTCTGTGACATTGTTTTTGATTTCCTTTTGATTTTTATAGACTTTCTATCTCTCTACTCTTATTACTTGTCTATCTTGAATGTAGTCTGTCCTGGTTTGAATTATGTTCCCCCAAAAATGTGTGTATCAGTTTGGCTGGGCCATGATTCCCAGAATTGTGTGGTTGGCCTCCATTTTGTTATTGTAATTTTATGTTAAAGAGGATTAGGGTGGGATTGTAACATCACCCTTACCCAGGTCACATCCCTGATCCAATGTAAAAGGAGTTTTCCTAGGGTGTAGCCTGCACCACCTTTTACCTTACAAGAGATAAAAGGAAAGGGAAGCAAACAGAGTTGGGGAACCTCATACCACCAAGAAAGCGGTACCAGGAGGAGAGCATGTCCTTTGGACCTGAGGTTCCTGTGCAGAGAAGCTCCCAGACCAAGGGAAGACTGATGACATGGACCATTCTCCAGAGCTGATGGAGAAAGCGTTCCCCTGGAGCTGAAGCCCTGAATTTGGACTTGTAGCCTACTGGACTGTGAGAGAATAAACTACTCTTTATTAAAGCCATCCACTTGTGGTGTTTCTGTTATAGTAGCACTAGATGACTAAGACATAGTCTACTTTTTTCATTGGGGGAGGTCTTATCATATGAAAAACAGGTGTTTTACATGCCCAGTCTTCTAATTCCAAATTTTGTCATATCTAAGCCTGTTTCTGATGTTTGCTTTGTGTTTTCAAGCTGTACTTTTTGTCTTCTAGTTTGCCTTTTAATTTTTTGTTGAAAGATGGGCACAAAGGTGGATATAACGTATTTGGTAAAAGAAACTGGTTAATTGGCCTTTAGTATAATGTTTTATGTTTATGTGGCTAGAAGTAGGCTGTGTTTTTTGTAGCTGTAGGTGTGAGAGGCTAAAATTTCAGCTGGTTTTTTTTTTTTTTCCTTTTCTCTCCCCTTTTGCCTTTGAGCTTTGCCAGAGATGACTTCTTAAATAAAATCTTAAAACTGTTTCAGTTTTAACTTCCTTTTATTTTACAGGATCTCTATTGATGTGGTATATGTGTGGGGAGAGAGGAAGCACTGTATAGTCCTATGATTGGATTTCAGTCTTTTAGTGAGCCTGGTCTTAATTGACACCTTCATTAGTACTTCACAGCTCTCTTCCTCTTCCCTTAGATGAGACGGAAATCCTAGATGGAATTGCAGTTGGGTCTTTCCCTTCCCCCATGTCATGGATTGAATTGTGTCCCCCCAAAATATTTATCAACTTGGCTAGGTCATGAGTTCTGGTATTGTATGATTCTCTATTATTTTTTCATCTGATGTGATTTACCTGTGGGTTGTAAATCCTATCACTATGGTGTTAATGAGATGGATTAGTGGCAGTTAATATTGATGAGATCTACAAGATTAGATCATGTCTTAAACCAGTCTCTTTTGATATATAAAAGAAACAAGCAGATAGACGAGGACCTCATACTACCAAGAAAGCAGCACCAGGAGCAGAGTGTATCCTTGGGACCCAGGGACCCTGTGCCTTAGAAGCTCCTCCACCAGGGGAAGATTGATGACAAGGACCTTCTTGCAGAGCTGACAAAGCCATCCTTGGAGCTGATGCCCTGAATTTGGACTTGTAGCTTAGTAGACAGTGAGAGAATAAACTTTTGTTTATTAAAGCCATCCACTTGTGGTATTTCTTTTGTAGCAGCACTAGATGACTAAGACAGAATTTGGTACCAAGAGTGGGGTGCTGCTCCAACAGATACCTAAAATGTGGAAGCAGTTTTCAAACTGTGACTGGATAGAGGACTCAGAAGGAAATGGATAAAGCTGTTACTCTGAAGACGGTGCAGTGTGAAGAAGCAGCAGAGAACCGGCAGCAGCAGAACCAGGAGACCAGCGCCAGACAGCACTGGAGCTGACCCTCGGAGCAAGAGAGCTCAATGCCTTTGTGCAGGAGGCTACCTGCCGGCGTGGGGTGACTTCAGGCACTTATTGGTGGAGCTAGGCTTACTGACTCAGAGCAAGAGAGCTGAGTGTCTTCTGGCTGAAGTTTGCTGGCAGAGTAGGGGACCTCCAGGCACTTATCAGTGGAGCTACAAAGCTTTGGAACACTTGCCCCAGGAGGGCAGATGCAGGCAGTGAGGCCTCAGGAGCCAAACGGCCAAGGAACAAGGAAGCAGAGATGCCTCAGTCTCAAAGGGTATGGCCATGACCTCTGGGGTTTGAAAATGTGGAGCCATGGCCTCTGGAGTTTTAGTTCCAGGAGCCTTAGCAGGTTCTCATTGTGATGATTGGGAAAAAAATCCCCTCTTGCTTCCATCAGGGAGAGGAAAAAGGAGCCATTCTGAAATACATCCAGAGCATTTTGCTATCCTTAAAAAGGCTTGCTCTCAAAGGATACTATTCCACCAGCCCTCAAAGGATACTATTTCACCAGAACTTCAACCAAGCGGTGTTTTAAGAGTCTAAATGATCTGAGGTGTCTTAGTCATCTAGTGCTGCTACAACAGAAATACTACAAGCAGATGGCTCTAACAGAGAAATTTATTCTCTTACAATTCAGTAGGCCACAAGTCCAAATTCAGGGCATCAGCTCCAGGGGAAGGCTTTCTCTGTCAGCTCTGGAGAAAGGTCCTTGTCATCAGTCTTTCCCTGGTTTAGGAGCTTCTCAGGTGCAGGGACCCCAAGTCCAAAGGACACGCTCTGCTCCTGGTGTTGCTTTCTTGGTGGTGTGAGGTCCCTGTGTCTGCTCACTTCTCTCTTTTATATCTCAAAAGAGTGATTTAAGACACGATCTAATCTTGTAGATCTCATCAATATAACTGCTGCTAATCCATCTCATTAACATCATAGTGATAGAATTTACAACACTTAGGGAAAACACATCAGATAACAAAATGGTAAGACAATCATACAATACCGGGAATCATGACCTAGCCAAGTTGACCTATTTTTTGGGGACACAATTCAATCCATGACTTTCCACCCTTTGACCCCTTTTGAAAATTCACGTCCTTGCCACATGTAAAAGTCACCCCATCATATTATAGCAAAAGTCTTAAATCAACTCCAAGTCCAAAATCCAAAACTTGATCTGTGAAATCCAAAATACAAGTTATCTGTTTATCTGCTTCCAAAGGTACAATGGTGAAACAGGCAGGCACAAGCTAGACATTCCCATTGGGAAAAACTGGAAGAAAAGAAGGCACAACAGGCACCAAGCAAGGCAGCAGAACACATTACATTAGCCCTCAAGGCTTTGAAAATAATCCTCTGTTCTCTGAGATCATTTACACAATGGTCCTGACCTCCAGACTCTAGGTACTGGCCACACTATCCAGATTCTGAGTGAATTCAGAGAATTGAAGTCATAAGGTAAAATGCATCCCCCCAAAACTGGAGACACAGACAGGCAAATGCAGAGAATGACACTTTACACAAGCAAGAACTCTGAAAGAACAGCTGCTGCTAAAGCCAGTACTGGGATAGAAAACTTGAATTGACTAGTAGTATAAGACTCACTCTAGATCTGCTAGGGAACTAAAAATACTAGCAAGCCCAGACATAGGGAGGCCCCCCTCACTTTTTGGCAGATGGTCTTGTCAACTATTGTTGACCTGGGTTGCCTGTTGATTTGTGTAGACCTCGAGACCTCTCATGGCTGGTGAGGGACACAAGGAAAAACTACCAGTCTGTCAGTGTTTCCTAGTTATTAATATTTCATCTTCAAGTTTTGTTGAGTGTTCTGGTGGGTCTTAGGGAAGGAGGTGAAATTTTTTTCTTTCCACAGAGCAATTATGAACTGAATGTGGAACTAGGTCTTTCATTTGTAGAGAATTTCTCTCACTTCTGCTTTGGGTTTTGGCTGTTCTGGAACATAAATATAACAGGAATGAGATGGGGATTGGTCAGTGTCAAACTATGGAGAGATAAGTTCAGTGTTAAAAATGTTAAATCTATGAGATAGAATGCCAAGAATCAGGATGTAAATATAGACAGCAAAAAGAAGAGGCTGATTGCCAAATTCTGGAGTAGAACACAGAAACTTCTGTGACCTTTCTGTGAATTCTCCATTTCCTGCACTGATAGCCTCACTAGATCTTTCACACACATTGGGGAAGATGATACCTTGCTAATCCAGAATATGTGGGATGTTTTAGGACTCAGTGGTGTTTGAGGATGTGGCCGTGGACTTTACCCAGGAAGAGTTTGCTTTACTGGATTTTGCTCAGAGGAAACTCTACAGAGATGTGATGATGGAAACCTTCAAGAACCTGGCCTCAGTTGGTAAGGCGGACATCAGTTTTTTTTTTCTTTTTTTTCCCCAGTAATGAATGAATATATTTTACTCATTGCCCTTGTTTCAAGGTTTGAGTTGAGGAATGGGAATACATTGGAACACATTACAAACATACACTCACCTCGTGGAGCTTAGTCTGTAGTCTTTCCCCTTAAAACAAAAATCTAGATGTTAAACTGAGTTTGTATTTCTCTTCTGGTTAAAAGCCTTGATGGTCTTTTAAGTGTTGTAAGTATGCATATTGGCCTGAGGGGTCACTTTGGACTTAGATTTGTGGATTGCTACCTCATTAGAGTTTTACTGAATTTATTACAAATTTGACATGATACTTTGCTAAAAATAAACACACTAGTCCATCTATAGAGACTCTGGAGACCAAAATATTGGCCCAGTGTTAGGGAGGGAAATGATGCTCTCTACTGTCTTCCATTGTGATCTGCCATTTCCTATGAACACCATGTCAACCACATCCATTTGTTCTCCCAGGGAAAGGTCTAAGGAGAGTGAAGTTAGGACTTATCCAGAGTCATGGTGTCAGGAAGCACTAGGAAGGCAAGAATCCTTTGAAGGACAAACCCTTGAATAAATCAACTTGAAAAACTGTCTTCGTTTGAGGAGGCTAAGTTTCCACGTGGACCTGAGCTTTTTTTTTTTTTTTTTAATCTTAGTTTCCATCTATCTTCTCACACCTTCTATGTTCATGGAACAGATCTTCCTTTTTTTTTTTTAACATTACCTTTGTGCATATGCGTTGTTTGCCGGTCCTTTCTACTATGCTTTCCTGATTATACCATATTTATGACATTGTCACTTTCGATTATCAAGGAATTATTTTTTAGTAAATTGCTTACCCTTTTGACCATTGCCAAGTCCTGGAACATCCAAATGCTTCAGAGTCTTTCTGTGTTCACAAGTGCCTTGTTCGTCATAAAAGTTCCTTACCATTCTGTTTCATGTTGTGATACTCCACTTAAAATTATTGGGTCAGTTTCTCAGGAGGTTGGTGAAGGACAAATGGTGTCCAGTGAACATTTAATAATGCGATTCATAAAAAATAACTCCTGGTACTCCATTTTAGGAGACATCTGTGAATTCCATGGCATTGAAGAGCAGCATAACAACCAGGGGAGTCATGTGAGGTGAGTATCATTCATATTAGTGTGAGTAGTACCTGAGGAGAAAGTCTTAAGGTATTAGGACATTTATGTTTCTGTGTTTGTTTATATAAAACTAGCTCTAAAATTATGTGTTCACATAATTTTCACAACACTCTATTTTCATAAATATGAATGAGATACTGAGTATTTGGAACATTTCACTTGTATGCATTTATCCGAAAGCCCCATTATTTAGAAACCCTGACAGTAATGAAATTGATCTCTATGAGATGATTCAGTCTATTCAACATGAGATAGGACAGTAAACATACACATTTACTGTGTATTATATATGAAATGATAACGAACTGTATTCTAACAGTATGCTGCCTATTTTGACAGAAGTCATACAGATGAGCACCTCTTTGAAAGTACAGAGAAAGAAAAGGAAAGGAAAGAATGTAATCAGTGTGGAAAAACTTTCAGCAAGATTCCATATCTTACCAGCCTCGAAAGAATTCCTGCTAGAGAAAATCCTTCTGAATGCTGTCAATGTGGAAAAGCTTTCATGAATCATTCTTCATTTAAACATCACTTCAGATCTCACACTGGATGCAATACCAATGAGTGTGAGGAATGTGAAGTAGCCTGCAGTTCTCCTTACCTAAGCATTCATGTAAAAACTCTTCCTGGACAGAAAATTGATGAAAGTAAGAAATGTGGCATCACCTGTAGTTCCTCATCCCTCATTACACATATACAAAGTCATGGTAAAGAGAGGCCTTATGAATGTAAGGAATTTGGGAAAGCCTTTGGTCAGTTCTCAGCCCCCATTGAATATAAAAATATTCAAAATGGAAAGCAACCTTATGATGGTAAGGAATATGGGAATACCTTTAGTTCTTCCTCATCCCTCAGTAAACATATTAGTATTCACAGTGGAGTAAGGCCTTACGAATGTGAGGAATGTGGGAAAGCATTTAGTAAGTCCTCGAAGCTGAATAGCCATGTAAGGACTCACAGTGGAGAGCGGCCTCATGAATGTAAGGAATGTGGGAAAGCCTTCAGTTGTGCTTCATCCCTCACTAGACATATAAGAACTCACAGTGGAGAGAGGCCTTATAAATGTAAGGAATGTGGGAAAGCCTGTAGCCAGTCCTCACACCTGATCACCCATATAAGAACTCACAGTGGAGAGAGGCCTTATGAATGTAAGGAATGTGGAAAAGCATTTAGGTGGTCCTCACACCTCACTACACATATAAGAACTCACACTGGAGAGAGACCTTACAAATGTAAGGAATGTGGGAAAGCCTTTAGGCGAGCCTCAAATCTGATGAATCATATAAGAACTCACAGTGGAGAGCAGCCTTATGATTGTAAGGAATGTGGAAAATCTTTTTCTGATTCCTCAAGCCTCACTACACATTTAAGAACTCATAGTGGAGAGAGGCCTTATAAATGTAAGGAGTGTGGAAAAGCCTTTCGGCAGTCCTCGCACCTGATCAACCATATAAGAATTCACAGTGGAGAGCGGCCTTATGAATGTAAGGAATGTGGGAAAGCCTTTAGCCAGTCTTCACACCTGATCAACCATGTAAGAACTCACAGAGGAGAGAGGCCTTATGAGTGTAAGGAATGTGGGAAAGCATTTAGCCGATACTCAAACCTGATCAACCATATAAGAGCTCACAATGGAGAGCGCCCTTATGAATGTAAGGAATGTGGGAAAGCATTTAGCCGGTTCTCAAACCTGATCAACCACATAAGAGCTCACAGTGGAGAGCGGCCTTACGAATGTAAGGAATGTAGGAAAGCCTTTAGCCAGTCCTCACACCTGATCAACCATAAAAGAACTCACAGTGGAGAGTGGCCTTATAAATGTAAGGAATGTGGGAAAGCATTTAGCCAGGCTTCATCTCTCTCTCAACATGTAAGAACTCACAATGGAGAGAGAACTTATGAATGTAAGGAATGAGGTAACATCTTTGGTTGTCATTTGAAAACGTGAGAAGGTACACTGAAAAGAAGTAATAGATTACACATGACGTTCTATGAATGTAAAAGAAGCCTTCAGTGTCCGTCCTTCTTCCAGACTTCTATGATACCTTACACACGGGAGAGACTCTGCAGCTGTAAGCAAACTACTACTTCAGCTGTTGCAAACGACTTTGGAGAAGTATCAAAATGTTATTTTGGTTCTGTTATATAAAAATTATTACAAAATCTCAGCAACCCTTGGTGTCAAACTGTGGTGTTTTTTGTTTTTTTAATCAACTATGTTTTTAAAGTTTATATTTTTTCACATAGAACAGTATGTTCTCATTGTAGAAAGTTTGATTTTATTATAAGGAAAAGCAGAAATTACTTAAAATTCCACCACTCTCGTTATTTTAGATATTATCTTTTGGCATTCTTTGTATGCAAAACAGTGTTTTCTTAAAGAATCTGGATTATACTGTGTGTTTGTGTTGTACCCAACTTTTTTTCATTGTTTTTCTTAATTATCTTTCACAACTATAATGATCCCTAGTTTACTAATGAGAAAACTGCACAGAAGATTTTAACCCACATCCCATCTTTTCAGAATAATGTCTGTCTCGGATGGTGCTGTAAGAAGTAGGATTTTTGTTGAAGGTTCACATTGGGTATACACAGAGATGGTAGACCCGCACAGACCTACAACCTAACCTAGATGCAATGGAGCTTCTGTCTGGCACAAGCACAAAACCTGTATTTTAAAACAGTCCTGCTTTTGGTAATTTTGTGGTTTGAGCAGAGTGCACTAGGCCAGGAGTTGAGGCTGTAGTTGCTGGACTGGGCTGGACTGCACTGATGGCTGCTGCTCCACCAAGGGTGCACACCTGCTGCAGGGCCTGGACATTTATACAGAGCTCCTCTGCCCCTACAGTGAAGTGGTATCTTCTTGCTTGACTTCTCACGTAAGGGGCTTTGGACATAGTGACTATAGGTAGCAAAAGCCTTCAAGTTAGGTTTCACATTGACCCAGCAATTCTCCTTTCAGAATCATTTCTTGGAAGTTCTTGGGCGCTGTAATGGTGTACCTTGATAACTGTGCTAGATTGTGGAAATAGGGGAAATGGTGTCAGTGTCCAACAGGAAGGGAGTTTTCAGATAAATGCCTGGCTACATGTCAGTGTTGTACTGCCACTAAATGAATTTTTTCAGAAGAATTTAGTCCACAGGAGAAGCCATCATAGCTTCAAGTGTGATAGGATATAAAAGCGTACATAATGATGGCAGTTTATAAAAAATTTACGTGTATAGACAAATCAGCCTGTAGAGATCTGTCCCAAAGGCAAGACTAGGTGATTACTCTGTTTCTGACTAACTTGAAAATTTTCTGCAGTCATTGTTCATTACTTGTTCAATTTTTTAAATTTAAAAACATTAATTTGCTTTTGGGATGTACAGTAACATCTGTTTTGACAAATATGTCAAGTCGTATAACCAGTACCACAATGAAAATACAGCTTTTCTCCTTCCTCCAAAAAATTCCCTAGTGCTGCCACTTTTTAGTCATGAATCCCTAGCACTTGTCCATGTACATATCATGCTGTATGGAGTTTTTAGATTCTGGCTCCTGTCATTTAGAGTAATGAATTTGATGTTCATCCAGGTTGATGAATGTATATATACATTCTGGTAGTTTATTCCTTTTTATTGCTTTGTACTGTGTTGTGTAGATATACCATAGTTTGTGTAGTCATCAGGTTAAGAATATTTGAGTTTCCAGGTTTTTGTTTTTTGTCCTTTTAAATAAAACTGCTGTAAACATTGTTGCACAGGGTTTTACATGGACATAATGTTTGACTTTTCTCATCTATATCCCTATGTATGGGATTGCTGTTTCATGATTAATTTCATAAGATTACCTTCATAAGAACTTTCACTCTCAGAGTGCCATTTTATATTCTACCAACAATATAATTCCAGTTGCTGGGATATGGAGAGGCTGCTTTTCTAGTGGAATAAAATACACTTCTGTTTGCCTCTGGCTTTAGGGGAGGGATTTGGGTTGGCAGCTTACCTGACAGGCATCCCTGCATTTGTGAGGACAGCGTGTGCAATGTAGCATCTGGATTAGTCCTCAGGCACAAGTGTATGGAGCTAAGGCTATGCCATTACTGCCCAGATTGAAAGCTGGAGGAAACTTGCACTGTCAGAATGCTGTGCCTGCAGGGATCCTCCACTGGACAACCCACACAGAGCAACGTAGGGACAAAAATACCCTCTCCAGGAGCCTGGAAGGTGATCACACTGGAAATGGAAATGAAAGCCCCTTCTTCCTGCAGTGTCCTTCATTGTCCTCCATACACTGATGACTGGCAGAGAAACGCCCTAGCTCCATTATCAGATCAGGAAAAAATAAGGTATCTGCAGCAGAAGCAACAGATTGATAACCAAGACAATGATCAAAATGTAGCTTTTGTTGGTTTTCTGTCAGTGATAAACCATCTCCTAGCAAAGTGAAAGCTTAGGTCTTGGTGCCCAACCTCTTCCCCTCCCTGTAGGAGCTTAAAGCGTCTGCCTCTTGTGCCTGTCAGCCTCTCCTACCAACTCTACCTTCTCTGACACCAACCTACTGAAAATGCAACTTCTGTCTAACCAACTGGAGCAATGTCTGATCTAACAAGTGAAAGGGCACAGCTCTAGAATGCCAAGTGTGGCCAAGATTGCAGACACCAAGCAAAATTTTAGGGGCCCCTGGAATCACCCAGACTTCCAATTAACTAGCTAAAATTTTGTTTCCACTACCACCTTGTGTTCAATAATTTGCTAGAATGATGCAGAACTTAGGAAGTGGCTCAGAGTTTTAAGATAACAAAAAGGATACAAATCAAGACTAGCATTTAAAGCAGAGCAGCATATGATGAGGGTTAGCAGGGTGTCAAATGTGGAGTTGCTATGTCACAAGCATAATTTATTTCTTCACGCATCCCATGCATATACGTCTATCACCAACCAGGAAGTTCACCTGAACTTCAGTGTCTACTGTTTCATTATGTAGGCATGATTGAATCATTGGTCATACATTTGACTCCAGTCCCCTTTCTGCAGTTCAGTTAGAGGTGCTGATACCACAGAGTGGGTCTTTTAAGCCCCACACCTTGAATCACCTCTTAAGATATGCTGTAAGTCAGCACAACTGGATGAAACCAAAAGCTAAGAACTTTGCTGACTACAACAAAACACTTCGTGGGACAGAGTAGCAGGGGTGGGGGTCTGGGGACCATGGTTTCAGGGGACATCTAGGTCAATTGGCATAACAGTTTATTAAAACGTTTTGTGTCCCACTTTGGTTAGTGGTGTCTGGGGTCTTACAAGCTAGTGAGTGGTCATCTAAGATGCATCAATTGGTCCCAACCCATCTGGAGCAAAGGAGAATGAAGAACAAAGACAAGGAAAAAGCCCAAGAGACAGAAAGGGCCACATAAACCAGAGACTTCATCAGCCTGAGACCAGAAGAACTAGGTGGTGCCTGGCTACCACCAATGACCTCCCTGACAGGGAATACAACAGAGACTCCCTGACAGAGCAAGGAGAAAAGGGGTGCAGAACTCAAATTCTAGTAAAAAGACCAGATTTAATGGTCTGACTGAGACTGAAGGGACCCTGGAAGACATGGCCCCCTGACACTCTGTTCGCCAAAACTAAAACCATTCCCAAAGTCAACTCTTCAAAGATTAGACTGGAGTATGGGACATAAAATGATACTCGTGAAGACTGTGCTTCTTAGCTCAAGTAAATACATGAGACTAAATGGGCAGCTCCTGTCCTGAGGTGAGATGAGGCAGAAAGGGACAGGTGCTGGTTGAATGGACATGGGAAATCTGAGGTGGAAAGGAGAAGTGTACTGTCAGAGTATAGGGAGAGCAACTAGGGTCACATAACAATGTATGTATAAATTTTTGTATGAGAAACTAGAACTGTAAACTTTCACTTAAAGCACAATTAAAAAAAGATATGCTCTAAGGTGTGCTCTGGCGTCCTCTAAACATCAGAGACATTCCAATCATTCAGGAATTTCTTTGTATACAGTAATTTTTCACCACAAAGGACTGCTTTTATTTCTCCCTTAAGGTGAATAATATTGGTTACTATGTATCATTTAAAACCAGTTGCTAGAAAAGGGTATCACGTTTGGTATTGGTTAGCAAACAAGGGAAACACTCGAAATGTAGTGACTAAATAACAATGGACTCCAAACATACCAACCGTCGCCAATATGTCACAGGCACACCAACATTTTCTATTATGCAAAAGGTCACCATGAGTCAGAGCTGACTTGACCGCAACTAACATGTATGAGGCAGTTTTACATGAATTAACTACCATTAACACCATTGTCTTAGGCTGCATTCTCTAGAGAAGCAAAACCAGTAAAGCATATAAATGTATATAGACAAGGATTTATATCAAGGAAATGGCTCACGCAGCTGTTGAAGCTGCAACGTCCCAAGTCGTGGGTCAGGAAAGAGGCTTCTCCTGATTCATGTAGCCACAGGGTCCAGTGAACCCAACATCGGCAGGCCTGAGAGCAGGGCTGTTGCTCACAGGCTGTGACTATCAACAAACCCCAAGATCAGCAGGCAAGACCACAGGCAAGCTGCTAGCTCAAGTCCCAAGAACCAGATGTCCAGCTGCAGGATCTGGAACAAGCAAAAGCCCCAGTAAGGAGATAAGGAAGAGCACAATGGTGGAGGGTGGAGACATGAAGGTTGAGGGGGTTGGTGAGAACACCACAGGCCCTGCCCCCGCCAGTACTGACAGCAGATCCCATCATGGGGGGGATGACGTATCAAATTTCAACAGGGAAGTGATCACATTATACAACTGTGAAAACACTGAGAATTATGGCCCAGCCAAGTTGACACACAACCTTAACCATCACAACCATTAATCCTCAGGGATTTTATCTTAAAGTAAGAGAGATGCTCGAGTTTAAATGGACAAGCTCATTTAGTTTATTGCAAAGTAGTCATGGCAAGGCACACAAGTAAGTCCAAAAGACATTCATTTAGGGCAAGAGAATGGGGACAATAAAACATGAGTTCAATCGTTATAGTCCAGATATTTAGATTGCAGGCATTTAGCTTTAATGAGTGGTGAAAGGGAGGCTTGACCACAGCTTATGCTCGGCAAAGGTCCCTTGTAGCTGGGGTCCCAGGTCAGCAGCTACAGGCAAAGTCTCTGTTTTTGTTTCTGATTTGGTTACAGTCTTCTGAGAAATTAGAAGAGATGTTCTGCCTCTGTCTTTTCTTATGTGGCCTCAAGTCCAGGGTTTATATAGGATTTTCTTCTTTGGAGTTTCACCATAAAGACCAGAGGATGTAATGTCTAACAAAGACTAGTCTGTTACATCTTCTCTTCAAGGTCAGAAATTAGGGTGGTTGTTTGCAATTTAGCTATATGTTACATTTTATCACAGCATGCTGGTGCACGGCCATCTTGTTTACATCATCTATTTTAATTTAAATACACATTGACTAATACACATGTGGTTTGAGAGCATTAGTGAAGTATACATAACACTTGTCTCATTTTATAAGGAAATTAATTCCTAGAGGTTTCCTAGTGAGTGACAACATCAGGATTCAAACCAAGACCTAGAGTGGACCATTGCTCTCATCTGAGTGCTAATTTGAGGATCCCCCACGTGCCTAGAGCTCTAGTTTCCAGGTGTAAAAGACCAAAAGTCATATCCTTGCCCTCATGACTAGAGAAGGTGAACAAAGTAGTGGTGCAAGTAGTTAAATGCTGAACTAGTAACCAAAAGGTTGTTAGTTCAAATCAATCCAGAGGTGCCTCAGAAGTAAGGCTTGGCAATCTGCTTCCAAAAGTTCATAACCTTGAAAACCCTATGGAGTGCAGTTCTACTCTGCACACATGGGGTCGCATGAGTCAGTAGACTACACCTCAACTTACAAAGGGATGGAAAGACGGACTGGGGAGAGAGCCATCCCACTGACCCCAGCCACTGGCATCTGGTCCTGCTACAACCACACCTTTGGCTGTGGTTACTTCCGCCAGTCTGGCCCAGACTCAGGGCTCAACTGAGTCTTCCACGGAGGAAGCTAGAAGCTCCTCACATCCCAGCTGAAAGAAGAGGCTGCCGTCTGGTGTCCTTAAACTAGGAAGCACGCTCCCCGGAAGTGGACACGTGCGTCCAGAAGTGTGTGTCCCCAGCCCAGTGGCCATCTAACTGGTGTCTCCACCAGCGTCTGAGGTAAATTTTCGCCTGTCTCGGTGTCCCGCTCATCGTGCAGGAGTGGAGGGTCTGAAGGGGCAAGTGCAGGCCAGAGGTGCGTCCCCAGCCCTGTCACGGCGGGTAGTCTAGGCCGCTCTGAGAACCTGGCCGGCTCAGCCCGCACCAGTCGGGCCGCTGGGGCAGAGGCCGCCGACGGCGTCAGTCCCTTCTGGAAGATGCAGACGGGAAGTGGTGTCAGGGCGCGTTTGGTGGGTCCTCTTCATCTGCTGTGCTCTACACTTTAACAGTCCCCAAAGCAACGTTTGTGTCCTTTCTCCAGAATGAAAATCCTCTCCATCGTTCACCCAGAGGTCATCCTCTTCTCACAGACCTGGCAAATCTGGCAAGTTGCAGTGAACACTGCGCAGAATTGCTTTTGGTGTGGGTATCAGTTATTAAAGTTTGATAAGTTATATTCAGGTGAAAAGATAAACATTTTCAGGTTATTGGGGAGCACATTTATCTAATATAAATAAGTGCATGAGAATTGTAAAGAAACAAAATAATTATTCCTGATGCAAAAAGGTAGACTCCCCCCCCCCACCTTCTTAGAGCACTTACTTTAGAAATCTTATGATTTAAATTTTTTTCTTTGCCTCTTTTGAGAAATCCTCTTGGAAGGATAAACTTCTTGCTAGTTTTACAATCCATGAATGTTTTCTCAAGGATTTGAGAGCCTACTTTTCAAAGTGTCATCAGTAAGGAAGACAGCTTTTTGTCTCAGAGTTTCTTTGGGAGGGTAAGAGCCTGACTTGGGTGGGCTCCAAGCTGCAATACTACCACCTCTTATAAAGATATGAGAAGATTATTTCTTCTCAATTGAGAGGACAGTCTGGAGGTGTATGACCACACAGCAATCAGGTATGAGACCCTGAATTTTAAGGAAGCTCCCATATAGCTTTAGGCTTTTTTAGAATAATAACCAGATAGACAATGCTCTCTTAGACTGGTTGTCTAGAGAAGCAAAACCGGTGAAGCATATATATGGATAGAGATTTATCTCAAGGAAATGGCTCACACAGTTGTAGAGGCTGGCAAGTCCCAAGCCTGACTCACGTAGATGCAGGGGCTGACGAAGCCAAGATTGGCAGGTCATAGAGCAATGTGCTTGCTCTCAGCTGCTGAAAAATCCAAGATCGGCAGGTATAATGGCAGGTTGCTGGCCCGCTGGCTACAGAGGTCAACAAATCCCAAGACTGTCAGGTAAGACAGCAGGCTGCTGGCTCACAGGATGTGGAAGCCGACAAATCCCAAGAGCAGCAGGTAAGACAGCAGACCACTAGCTCGCAGGCTGTAAAGTCTGACAAATCCCAAGATAAGCAATAGAGCAAGCTGCTGGCTCAAGTCTGAAGAACCAGAGGTCAGATAATGACAAGCAGGATGCAGGATCCAGAGCAAGCAAGCCTTGCCAGAACATCCATATGTACAGGCCACACCCCCAAGGAAACTCCCTTTTCAAATGATTGGCTCCTCACATCAGATCACAAAATAGGGGATGACTACATCATTACATAACTGACAGATGACATCATTACATAACTAACTACATAACTGCCAAGCCACTGAGAAACATGGCCCAGTCAAATTGACACACAACCTTAATCACACATTCCACCCCTTGTCAGCTTCGCACCTATACATCTATTTAAACCTTACATAATCTCTAAATAAAGACAGTTATAAAGTCATACTTGCTCCTAACA